GCACTCGAACTCCCTCCCAGGGTCTGCCCTACACATCGCTCCCCATCCTCCTGCCTGGTGAAAGGGAGTGAGGGTAGAGGAGAGTGAGTGATGGAGGGGGCAGGGCCTCCAGGAAGGGTCTGGTTTGCAGGATTAGATAGCTAGCAGCCTTGCTGGGCGGCAAGCACCAGTGTCAGGCAGACCAGGTCGTCACCCGGGGGCCTAGAATCGCTCTCAGCGGGCCTGTGGGACCCTGCAAGACCGATCCTCCTGCCTGGTGAAAGGGAGTGAGGGTAGAGGAGAGTGAGTGATGGAGGGGGCAGGGCCTCCAGGAAGGGTCTGGTTTGCAGGATTAGATAGCTAGCAGCCTTGCTGGGCGGCAAGCACCAGTGTCAGGCAGACCAGGTCGTCACCCGGGGGCCTAGAATCGCTCTCAGCGGGCCTGTGGGACCCTGCAAGACCGAGCTGCGGAGCCAGCAAGGGGATGCATGAAGGGTTGCCCGAGGCTGGCATGTGCAAGACCAAGTGCGTGGGTCCTAGAACTACCTGCATGAAACCCAATTCAGAAGTCAAACCAAAGAGCCAAGAACCGCTCCCCCCAACTATCCGACCCGCAAATCGGCGGGGGACACGCCCAACCTGCCCTGCGGCTCGTGTCTCTGACCTGATCTGCGCAGCACTTGGTATGTGATCGACATCCGCAAGGTAACTGGCCAGCCAGCTCATGGTGGTGCTCATGGCAGCACTGTCCGTCCTCTCCACCAGCGGGGACTCCATCGGCACAAAGTTCTCCCGCTTGATCCGGTCTGGCGTAGCTTCGATGATGTGCTCAGCAAGAGTCATCATGTTCACCTGGGGGCAGACAGGAGCAGCATTTGCCATGGCCCTTGTGGTGAAACGGGTCCCGCGGGATGAACACCTGTCCAAGTGAGGCTCACTAACCGGACGGGATCCGGAAGCCGTGTCTACACTGGAGTGCTTACAGCAGGGCAGCTCTGCTGTTGCGAGACGCCCCCACGTAGGTGCTGTATGCAGATGGGGAAAGCTCTCCCCTTGACACATTACTCACCCCCGAGCAGCGGTACCCGTTTTGGGGAAAAGCTGTCCCACCGATGGAGCGCTGTCCACACCCGTGCTTAGATCAGCGTAACGTACCATGCTCAGGGAGTGGCTTATTCACCCCGAGTGACACGCGGTACACTGCCGTAAGTGGGCGCGTAGACACAGCCTTCCACTGAGGTCTGGTTTTTCCAGATCCAAAGGGCAGTGCTGGATGGCTGGGAGGGGACTGTGCATAACTTGTGATCATTAGGAAAGAGACCGAACGATCCCTGGGGACAGCAACAAGGAGGGGTCGAAATCTAACAAGCATGGATTTCCCGTTACGGTTCTAGAGCACGTCCCAGCCTGAGGCGAGACAGGAGACAGCACGAAATCCTTGTTCAGCTGCCTGATGCCGAGTTCCGTGCCTAGAACACCCTGCGTTCCCGTGACGGTGGGAGAGAACACAAGGGTAGGGTTTGTGCCACGGTACCTCCAACCACATTCCAATTGACTTCCAAGACTGGTGGATGCCTCCTCTGCATTTCCCCCCTTACGTCTCCCTTTTAAAATTTAGAAATAAATATGCCCGGTCTGTAGTCCCCTGTCCCTGTTGCTAGGCCCTACCCGTCCCGCATAGCGCCTGTCTCTGGTATTGCAGGGCTGCCAAGCATCAGGTGATGGAAACAAAAAGCCCCATGACCCAGCACTGGATATTGCATTGGGGGGCACAAGCATGATACCTCTAGTCCTGTGACTTGGGCTTGGACAGCACTAGAGCAGCGCAGCTGTCACTCAGTGGAAATGCTCCAATGGGGACAGAAGAGCTTCTCTGGCTGCTCCACCTCTCAGAAGACAATAGTTGTGTCTGTGGGAGAAGCTCTCATACGAACAGCCAGACAGGGTCAGACCAAGGGTCCATCCAGCCCAGCGTCCTGTCGGCCGACTGTGGCCAGCGCCAGGTGCCCCAGAGGGAGTGAACAGAACAGGGAATCTTCAAGCAATCCCTATCCGGTCAGGCATTCCCAGCCTCTGACAGACTAATAGCCATTGATGGGCCTGACCTCCATGAATCTATTGAGCTCTTTTTTGAACCCTGTTAAAGTCCTAACCATCACAGCATCCTCTGGCGAGGAGTTCCACAGGTGGGCCATGCACTGTGTGAAGAAAAACTTCCTTTTGTTTGTTTTAAATCTGCTACCTATTCATTTCATTTGATGACCCCTAGTTCTTAAGTGATGGGTACAAGTAAATAACTTTTCCTTATTCCCTTTTTCCACAACAGACATGATTTTATAGACCTCTATCATATCCCCCCTTAGTCTCCTCTTTTCCAAAGTCTCAGTCTTTTTAATCTCTCTTCATAAGGGACCTGTTTCAAACCCCTAATAATTTTTGTTGCCCTTTTCTGAACCTTTTCCAATGCCAATATATCGTTTTTGAGACGAGATGCCCACATCTGTGTGCAGTATTCAAGATGTGGGCGTTCCATGGTTTTATATAAAGGTAATAAGATGTTCTCTGTCTTATTCTCTATCCCTTTTTTAATCATTCCTAATATTGTTTACTTTTTTGCCTGCCGCTGCACACTGAGTGGATGTTTTCTGAGAACTATCCACAATGACTCCAAGATCTCTCTAGAGTGGTTGTAGCTCAATTAGTCCCCATCATATTGTGCGGATAGTTGGGATTATGTTTTCCAATGTGCTTTACTTTACCATTTATCAACAGGAAATTGCATTTGCCATTTTGTTGCCCAATCACTTAGTTTGGGGAGCTCTTTTTGAAGCTCTTCACGGTCTGCTTTGGCCTTAACTAAATGTTGTCTACACATGGGGGTAGGTCAGTATAACTACATCACTCTGGTGTAGATTTGTCACTTCCTTGAGCAAGGTATTTATACCAATGAGGGTCTGTAGGACAAGCCTGGCCTGAACTCTAAGGGTGTTATTCTCCCACTAACTGGCAATTTTCCAGACCTTTCACATGTAAACATGTAAAGAAACAGCTCTATTGTGCAGCAGTGTATTCTGCTATGCTTTTGCCACTAGACAGACCACTAGAAAATCCACTGCTTTGTGGAACAATGACTTGTGCCACTCTCACCACAAGCTTCAAACTTCAATGGTAAAGGGTAACAGCAAAGTGCAAAAATCCAAGCCCACCGGTAACTGTGTAGGAGAAAAGGTGGGAGCATGATCCACCGAGACATCAAGTGTACAAGCGCTTCTCAAACCCACTGTGCCGGGAGACCTGGTCCACGGCTGCATGACATATCTGTGTCAGGAGATTTTCTATTATTCCTTCACTGCATGGCTGAGGATTATTCTAAGCAGCTCCAATAGTTCCACACGGAATATTACAAGGATTCAGAACGTGCACCACATATAACAAATGAGCAGCAGAGGGCACGAGCGGATATACACGTCTATGGAGATGTTTCAGAGGTTTCTATCTAAGTCTTTGTTGAATTATGCACATACAGAATCAAGAACGTTTGCAGAAACCCTCCCTTGTATCTATCGTTAATTGCTAGTGTTCCACCTAGGTTCCTGCCCCGCTAGTGATGGGAAGAGATACCTGCTGGGGGAACAGCAACAATTCCACACAACAGAGGTTTGGTGAAAGACAGGTGCCAGGGCCAGTTTATCAGTGCTAGCAGGCAGGTCAGGGACAATTACTAATATTTTAACCAATAATTAAACGCAGGAAGGTCTCTTTAAAAGACAGTCGCAATGCCTCCCGCTCACCCGGGCCACGGAGCCGCTAGGCAGAACACTTCACATCAGATCGGAATAACGTCACCAGTGAGACAGATTAAACAAACAGCGCAGGACCCCGCAGCTCTTCTGCTTCACAGCAGGAGCCTTACACATTTGCTCTCAAGTGACAAGTCGTTCTATGGCACACACTGCTCCACACCCTGCCCACCGTGCGAGGCGCACTGCAATCAGGCCGTGTGAGTTCATGGCCAATACCTGCTGACACGAGCTGGGGGCGGCTCCTAAGGTTCAACCCAGACATGTCGGAGGTTGTGCTAGAAGAAATGGCAACGAGCTGACGAGGTCTGCTGGAGAAGTGCACCTGCTAGTTGTTAATACGCTTTAGCACATGGGGATCTTCTTGGATCTCTGCTTACACGACCCTGTCCCGAGCACTGGACTCTCTCTGGTCACTGTCCCTTTCTTCCTCGGAGGTCCCAGAAGACGTCATTAGTTAATGCTCATCTGCTCCAAAACCTTAGGCCAGCACTTCCGGGGTTTTAATTCCTCTGCCACCTTCCAGCGAAAGGCCATAAGCCCCAGGGCCACGGGCATGCCAACACCCTGACTTCTAAAGGTGCAGAGACCCCGCAGCTCCCATTGACTACAGGGCAGGGGAACTCACTGCTCGGCTGTCACCCACCCACCGGCCAGAGCAGGGTGCGGATCGGCCTGTGCTGAGAACTCCAGCTGCGGCCAGAGCTGAATTCAAGACTCAAAGCCTGTGCCTGGTGCGAAAGGGGGTGACAAGGAAAGACTCTGAGAGACGGAAACACGAACGTCACTGGCAGAGCAGCCTGCAGAGACCAGGCCACCTGGGAAGTCCAAAGCCAGAAG